ACAGGCAGGGGGTTCTGACGTGGAGTTACACACAGACAGAATGCAGCCTGAATCATCACTCTGTCCAGGTTTGTGTAACATCACTGACTGTATTTCTTAATCATAATCCTGTCTGGTGTCAGGATAAGGAAAAAAGCAGTTTCTTCCCTTGAAACTAAACACCAAATTGTGAGTCAGTACCCGTCAGTACTCATTGTCTTTATTATTTTCGTGAGGGAGTCATTAAAGCAATACTCACTATTCACATCTCAGCCATGTTAACTGCTGTAATCACTGTATAGGTGTATACATGCGTAAGAGTTTCACTCCATCTGCTGGCCCAGCAGGGGTATCACATCTTTGTAAACGATACAAATATCCATTATCTGTGAAATAATTATTCTGTTTATGAAAGTAAGTTGGGGTAATTGAAACAGTTTCTTCCCAAGGAGCAAAAGAGACAGAATGAATTCATGGAATTATTACTGTTTATATAGAAAGTCACACACTTTACTGTTACTTTGATATCGCATGTAACGGATGTGTTGGGACATATAGCTGTTAGCACACACTCAGAGCTCACAGCTCCTCATATCTGTTCAGAAACTGGACAAAAGTTAAACATGTACAAACCACAGACTGTCTATGTCATGGCGAATACAGTCGCTGCTTTATTTATGTCTGTATGACGTTGTGAGTGTGGACGGAGCAGCTACAGGTTAGTTTAGCCTGATGCAGTGGCGGCGCCAGGGTATGGCTGGGGTAGGCTACAGCCATACCAAGAAATGGCTTAGCCCCACCATGAAAAATGATGTTAAAGTAAGCAAAATAAAGTCCGTCAACTCGCGCGGAGTAAATTGCACAGACAGCAGTTAGTAAGATTGATTTCAGTAGCCACTTGTCTGGAAATACCAAAGACTAGAAACGGTTTTGAAAACTTTTGTCACGTAGTGATCGTCTTCTCAATAAAACATCTTTGATAATGTCTTCTGGCCAATCAGAATCACGATAACGGGTGTTGTTGCAGGAAGTCCCGACGGAGAATACTTTTGCGGTAGTACACCTCTATATCATACAACATTACGGCCCAATCCCAAACCGCCCCCTACACCCTACCCCTACACACTACCCCTCCGTTTGCGCATTCGCGCGGAGGGTCCGCCACATTAAGGCCTAGGCTCCACAGGGACGAAAACGGGTTGAATCCGCATATTTCTCATGCGTATAGCCCTTTAAGCTCGACGACGCCGTAACAGAAACGTAAAAACAGACCCCGCAAACGACAACGGGTCCAAAAGTGGATAGATCTGGGAACGGAGCGCTCTGGGGGGTCCAACGGGGCCGTGGGGTCGCCTATACGGTCATCCGTTTCATAGCCCAACCTCTCCCCGCCTCTCCCCACCTCTGCTGCTCACCCCCGCAAAAGTACACTGCACACTGAATTCAGATTATTTATCTTTATCTCGATATGAACATAAACGCGAGTGAAGTCTAATCTGACAGGACGGAGACACGCAGCTCCTCCGGCTGTGAAGCAGCGGTATGGGCATAGATATGTCTCATAATTATTTGTGTGAACAGAAAAATAATTTGTGTGTAAATATGTGATTTGGAAATGTAAAACACAATCCACAAATGCATTTAAAAGATTTGCAAACTCACAAATAAATTTGCAAATGTAAAACGGATCTGCAAATACGCTAAATATGTTCACAAATAAAAAAAAGATCTGTGAATATCTCTTTAACATTTACAACTTTCGATCAGGCATTTGTGAATCCATTTTGTATTTGTCGACCAAAAATGCGCTTGTGGATCTCAACTCTCTGCTCGTGGATCTCACATTTCTGCTTGTGGATCGTCTTTTTACACACACGGAATTTTGAGACAAACTTTCCTCTGGTCTCAGCTAAAATCTACTCGTGTAACTCGGTTATTTTCGGAAACCACGTGATGGCCTGCTGATGACGACATTTCCGCATGATTTCAAAGTAAGAGCATGATGGCTTGTTTAATGCTCTGTTTTTTTATTATAATGAACAGCGAAACGTTAGATGCATTCTTTATCACCATCATCATCATCATCATGTTATGGTGATACAGTTAGTTTGTGTTAGTTTATTGGTTCAATACAGCATATATCGAGCACTTTCGTAGGCATTGATGTTGAAGTACAGGCTACGCCACTTCGGTCCCGGGGGAGCAGCTGGCAGCGAAGCAGCCCAGAGGAAACTCTTTCTTCATTGTTTTTTGTGTATTCAGTCAAAGTTACAAAGCACTTCACATTTTATTAATCGGCCTAATTTTACCTTACCAGTGCAGTAATAAAGTAATCTGTAGAAAAGCACCGTATTTAGGTCAGCCTTCATAGTAAGGCTACATTAAATGTTATAATATTCATCGTGTCCTTTCTACTGTATATGCATATATTCCTGTCTATTGCTTTCATTTGTGTTTCATGTTATTATGTTTATACTTGTTTCCACACATTTCACAATTTGGGATGAATGAAGTATCTATCTATGATATATATCTATCTATCTATCTATCTATCTATCTATCTATCTATCTATCTGTCTGTCTGTCTGTCTGTCTGTCTGTCTGTCTGTCTGTCTGTCTGTCTGTCTGTTTATCTATCTATCTATCTATCTGTGATATACATCTATGATATCCATCTATTTATCTGCCTGTCTGTCTGTCTGTCTGTCTATATCTATCTGTCTATCTATCTATCTATCCATCTATGATATCCATCTATCTATCTGTCTATCTATCTATCTATGATATCCATCTATGATATTCATCTATTTATATGTCTGTCTGTCTGTCTGTCTATATCTATCTATCTATCTGTCTGTCTATCTATCTATCCATCTATCTGTCTGTCTGTCTGTCTGTCTATATCTATCTATCTATCTGTCTGTCTGTCTATCTATCTATCCATCTATCTGTCTGTCTGTCTGTCTGTCTACCTACCTACCTATCTGCCTGCCTACCTACTTACCTACCTACCTACTAGTTGTTTTGTTTGGAAAGGTTGTCATTGTATTGCTCTTTACCAGCACCTGCAGAGTACAGGACTTTACATTGTAAATATTATATCAATCCTATAATATTGGTTTCTAGCATATATCATTTGCAAGTGTTTAAAACAAATGTGGGATACTGATTTCATAAAAAGAAAGACATTCATGATTGTCATATTTTATTATGTAGGATACAGGACTGGACTGTAGTCAAGTAAACTTACTTTACTTATTAGTATTTCCATTTTATGGATTAAGAGGGAATTATTCTCACTTCATTTATGCAACAACTTTATTTAATTTTATGATTAGATTGTTTTGCTTGTATCATCCTTTGCAAATACATAGTCACAATGCTGGAAACAGGGCTGTTTCTCTGAGAAACGTAGATAATCACTTATGAGAATATAATGCATTGGTATACATTAAAGGTGGGGTAGGTAATTTTGGAGAAACCAGCTTGAGTGCGGAGAATTTGAAAATAGACAACCGGAGAAAATCTGCCACTTCCTTACGGCCCCTACACGCGTGCGTTGACGCTTCAACGCTTCTGCCCATTCACTTTGAATGGGGTGACGTCACGATTCGCCGAACTGCATTCTGGGAGCAAAGCGTAGCTTTTCTCGTGGTGCTCGCTGCAAAAGTAGTTTGTTTCCGCAAACTCTTGTGTCCTGCAGCAGCTAAAAGTTTTGCAAGCCCCCGTTCGTTTAGTACCTAAAATAATAGACATCGCTTTTTCCAGCTGACAAACCCGACTTTCTGGTCACTTCTTCAATTTTCCAGCCCTTGGGGAGAGACACGGGAGATTCATGTGATTGGTTGTTGGTCGCGTTGCTCGCGTAAACTCCCCAAGCTCAAGACACGCCCACCGCCAAGCGGCAACGCACGCCGCCGTGTGTAGGCTGCGTTACAGAGTCCCTCCTCCAACACACACAAACGCGCACATGACCAATGAGGGCATGAGATAAGTTTGTGCACAGATGGAAGGCTGACAGGCAGGTAGGCCATCTAAGATATTCATTGCTATCGGGATGTTAAGAGCATTCCATGGAATATAACAAAAAGTGTATCTCGAGCCGGTTTCTCAAACTTACCTACCCCACCTTTAAACTAGCCAACAGTATAAAAAGCACTACAAAGTTTCGTCAATATTAACCATAAACATCTACATTAGTGAAATGACACATACACATTAATGCAGCTAATCAAAACGCATACAGAGAACCTTTAAAAGCATAATGAGTACTTCAAATGTAAGTCCATTTTGCTCATAGTACTTACATACCTTTACTTAAGTGACTATAAAGGCAAGACTTTTACTTAAGTCAAGTATCTGAATACTTTGTCTGCTACTGGTAGTCCATGGATCCATTGCTCTTAATTTCCAGTTGTAAAGAGAACCAACCGTAATGTGTTCAAGTAGATGTCCTTTCCAAAGGAATCTGATGGTAACATTGGGTCAATATTAGCATTAAGGTGTTCCATCTGTTGATCACTCAGAGGACTCCGGGTGACAGGAACAACTATTCCTGAGTGTTCCTCACGCAGATGACCACTGGCCTCCCAGTCAATGTAGGGGATCTGTAATCTCTGTGTCACAAAAAACAAAACAGTTTTTTTTAAATATGTATACTTTTCTTCCGCTGTTATGTACCGTTATAATTGTATACAAAAGAAGAATAAAGAAGTATCACTACATTCCTATGCATTTATTCCTCCATGCACATATCCCATACAAATTATGATGTTATTACCTCAACATCATCAGGATCATGAATGGGACTATGCAGTTCTCCCATTGCCCACATCTGATTTGGAGTCATGTTCTGCTCAGTCCTTAAAGGATGGTTGTCCCAGCCATCACGGAACACTTTCAGGCTGTGTTGAAGACGTGGCAGGAACACATAGTGGCAACAGAATAAATGGGTACTGTTGCTGGGATCCAAATGCCCTTCATCCTCCAGTGAGTGCAGGACAATGTAGAAGATGCTAGTGACTGCCATCCAGACATCTCTCCACAACCGTTCAATGCTAGTGTTATACAAAATTAAATAATGGGGTTTAGATTTCAACATTTTCAGCACAGCATGTGGAAAAAAATATAAAAATATTTCAATGTATACAAAAATCAAAAGACGTGCCCTACCGTTGATTGTGCACACTTTTGCCTGAAATGAAGCTGCCACTGTTAGGCCCACGCACAGTCAACATGAGCTCCGCCACCCCACAATTCTCCACACCATGGTCTGCTCTCACTCTAAAGAAAAGTAATCTTCATGAAATGTACAAGTTATCATTTCATGTAAAAAGGATTCTAAAAAGCAGGTATTACAAAAACCACCCATTTGATTTTGTTAGAGGAAGGATAGATTAATATTGCTGACTAATCAAGATAACAGGTTAGGTGAATATATTCGACAATACGACATACAGTTCCCCATAACCTCAATCAGTAACCTGTTCTGTGTGATTACGGCATTTGGTTCACCATCTGTCACTTTAAATGTAGGGTTCTGCCACCAGGTGGTGCTACTGTTACCTCACCTCCACTTTAGACATATATTTGTACCTGAGTGGGTATCCAAACTGTTGGACAGACTCTCTGAAGAATGCCAGTGTAGTAGAAGAACAGTTGTCATTTGATGTTCCAAGGTACATGATCTATATCAGGGAGACACAATCAATTCATTTATTTATTTTTAAAGCTGAAAGGAATACTAATAGCGGTCAGATTATTGAAGTCGGAGAGGTTTGGTGTAGTACATAATGTGTGGATTTGCTGTTAACTGGATAAAAACATTAGCATTTCTCATATGTATATAAATGTGTGTGTGTGTGTGTGTGTGTGTGTGTGTGTGTGTGTGTGTGTGTGTGTGTGTGTGTGTGTGTGTGTGTGTGTGTGTGTGTGTGTGTGTGTGTGTGTGTGTGTGTGTGTGTGTGTGTGTGTGTGTGTGTACGTCTATAGATTTTTAAGTATTGTAACACACCTTTCTGGAGAAGCCATCAATGCCTCAAAAAATGACAATGTTGTAACTGTAAAAAGAAAAAAACAATTGAAGCATATGTTTAAATAAATCCCAATATTACTTACAAAAACGTATCCTGACCATAGCAATGGCAAATAAACACAACATTGAATTTCTATAAATAATCACTTCGAACTTACCGGATAAGTTTATGGTTGGTATCTATGTGCACCAGATATTTGGGACACGGTACAGAATATGTGCGTCTTACCACACAACCCAAACGTGTTAGTCTTGGCAAAACACCAAGAGTGTCTACACGGTGCATTGATGCCCTGACCCGGTCCCACTGTACTCTGTGTCCTTGTGTGAGAAGAGCCCCTTTCACCAAGCGGTATCCAGAATTAGGCATTGTTGTCTTGATGGTTGACACCATTTCGACAGACAGACAGATGGATATCATAGATGGATATCATAGATGGATAGACAGATAGATGGATAGATAGATAGATGGATAGATAGATAGATAGACAGACAGACAGAAAGACAGACAGACAGACAGACAGACAGACAGACAGACAGACAGACAGACAGACAGACAGACAGATATGATAGACAGATAGATACAGATAGACAGAAAGATAGATAGATAGATAGATAGATAGATAGATAGATAGATAGATAGATAGATAGATAGATAGATAGATAGATAGATAGACAGACAGACAGAAAGACAGACAGACAGACAGACAGACAGACAGACAGACAGATATGATAGACAGATATGATAGACAGATAGATACAGATAGACAGAAAGATAGATAGATAGATAGATATCATAGATAGATACTTCATTCATCCCAAATTGTGAAATGTGTGGAAACAAGTATAAACATAATAACATGAAACACAAATGAAAGCAATAGACAGGAATATATGCATATACAGTAGAAAGGACACGATGAATATTATAACATTTAATGTAGCCTTACTATGAAGGCTGACCTAAATACGGTGCTTTTCTACAGATTACTTTATTACTGCACTGGTAAAGTAAAATTAGGCCGATTAATAAAATGTGAAGTGCTTTGTAACTTTGACTGAATACACAAAAAACAATGAAGAAAGAGTTTCCTCTGGGCTGCTTCGCTGCCAGCTGCTCCCCCGGGACCGAAGTGGCGTAGCCTGTACTTCAACATCAATGCCTACGAAAGTGCTCGATATATGCTGTATTGAACCAATAAACTAACACAAACTAACTGTATCACCATAACATGATGATGATGATGATGGTGATAAAGAATGCATCTAACGTTTCGCTGTTCATTATAATAAAAAAACAGAGCATTAAACAAGCCATCATGCTCTTACTTTGAAATCATGCGGAAATGTCGTCATCAGCAGGCCATCACGTGGTTTCCGAAAATAACCGAGTTACACGAGTAGATTTTAGCTGAGACCAGAGGAAAGTTTGTCTCAAAATTCCGTGTGTGTAAAAAGACGATCCACAAGCAGAAATGTGAGATCCACGAGCAGAGAGTTGAGATCCACAAGCGCATTTTTGGTCGACAAATACAAAATGGATTCACAAATGCCTGATCGAAAGTTGTAAATGTTAAAGAGATATTCACAGATCTTTTTTTTATTTGTGAACATATTTAGCGCAGATCCGTTTTACATTTGCAAATTTATTTGTGAGTTTGCAAATCTTTTAAATGCATTTGTGGATTGTGTTTTACATTTCCAAATCACATATTTACACACAAATAATTTTTATGTTCACACAAATAATTATGAGACATATCTATGCCCATACGGCGGGAGCAAAACACACACTTCAAGTCAGATCACCACCCTTAGCTATTTTAATTACCTCTCAAACTACCTAAACTAGTTATAAATATGTTTATTTTTACTGTCGGGTTTACTTACTGGATCAGCTGCTGCATGAGGAAGCATGAAGATTTAAACTTTAACACACATTGACCGGCGAAAAACTTTGCGCGGTTCCCTCCGCCCCCACCGCGGAGAATAAACAGAAGTGCAGCCATGACAACCATTCTTCTTCGCTGCTTTTGTGGAGGAAGTTGCTGCTTTTGTGGAGGAAGTTACAGCGCCACGTACAGGTTCGGCATATGTACTGCAGCTTTTCCAGCGGTTGGATGTAAACGGAGCCGTCTCGTGGAGCTCGACACAATCCGGTGTATATTGCGTGTGGGCGGAAGGTTTTTTGCGGTTGCATTTGCGTTACTCCGATGCGTTTTGCCGTATGGGTTCCCGTGGAGCTGGGGCCTAAGTGCTGTTCCAAACCAACGAGTGTGGAGCGGTGTGGAGGGGGAGTGGGCTATTAAGCCCTCAAACAGCGAGTCTGCATCGGTGCTGACTTGAGACCGGTCTCTACCAAGCCCCCAGGAAGTGCGCCGGACTCAGATGAAAATATTCGTGCTGGCCAAACGGCGGTACTACACTTCCTTTTGGTTGCCAGGCCCGGAAACACTTTTTCCCATTGACTTACATGGGGAAAGAGTGGTCTGTAAATCGTTGGATAATTTTTTTTAAACTAAATAAACTACCCAGTATGAACACTTGTATAGCCCTTATTAAAAACATTCATTCCTCAAGTTGTAAAAATGTGCTAATAACGTTATTCTGAGAGTTATTTCCCTCTGCATTATGAACGCGCATCTAACCCACAGGACCGCGCCGCCCGGCACGTTCATGTTACGTGTTCAGCACTACATGCGTTTATCTTTACCCATGGATGCACAATAAGAACGGACCCATATCGCCTTACTGCCAGCCCACGGAGCTGTAATAATGGATATATTGCACATGTTTGCTGTAATTCATCATTTGTAAAATATTATACTACATGGGCTGTATGATTAAATCTTGTACCGTAAATGTTGTATTAAATAAAGTTAATATTACCGACGTAGATTAACGTCCCTGTAGCTTCTTATTGCACTAAGAAGCTTATTGCACTGTATATATATACATATATACATATATATATATATATATATATATATATATATATATATATATATATATATATATATATATATATATATATATATATATATATATACAGTGCAATAATTCTTTCATGCTAAATGAAGCTCTGTTGCTTGGATATCACTAGATCCTGTTACAGCGTAATATAAAAGTACATAACGATTGATGTGTAAATTAGCATAATTACTAGCTAACCGCTAGCTGCTAACTGCCGCCTCGTTAATATCAAATCTATCATAATAACAACCCATTACCATGCTGTCATGAACGTGCGGTGCTGTTACGTGTACGCAAATTGACGTGCTTGATGTGAACGAGCATTTTGGGGGGCATGGTTAAAGTTGCGCATGCGCTATGAGCGCACATACGGGTACTTCTCAGGCATGCCGGGTAATCTGTGACGTTTCGCTCTCTCAAAAGTTGGGCCATTTTATCATCATGCGCGAATGAGCAACTCTCATAGGAATGAATGAGGCCCCGCCTCCCACGCTGTATCCAGTTCTTATCATACATCCATGGGGTGTTTCTCAATCGCGAGTACGCTTGCTTGGTAGCACATGTCTGCCGAGCATCTTGCTTCAGAAGCGAGTCAAGAATACTTCCTGGCATTCAGAAAACGAAGTGTGGAACACGCTAGCAAGTGTGCAGGTGTGCGTCATATGAGAGGCCCCGCCTTACATCTTCCGCCACATATTTGGGGAAATTGGTCCGTGCGCAAAGCATTGTGGGGATTTTAAGACCGCGAAGTCTACTCATGTGCAGCCTCGATATTTCTCCAAACGGAGTACGCCGGGCTCGGTAGATTTCCAAGTATGCTGGAGATTGGAACAGTACTTCGGCGGCACTCGATGACGTAGTATGCTTGAAATAGTGGCTCTGAAGCAGCTTTACTCGCGATTGAGAAACACCCATGGTCTCTACCTGACCGGAGTCACGCTGTGTGTGTCCGTCAGGAAACACGCTGTTTACAAGTAGTTCCCGCAAACATCCACTGATAAATTGCGATGTTAACAACCTCATGATAACCTCATATTTTTTTAACTTAGGATCATACCTGTGTTTAGTCTAGAAAAAGGTAAATGTGTGCATTTTATTATAAAGTTGTGTATATTTACAGACTGTTGCAAAAACTAAGAAGCTTATGAACATCAGGTTTAAAACTAAAAGAGCTTTACAAAAAAGTAACACAATGAAAGATGTTTGGAGTTTTATTTGAGTTATTAATTTACATTTTTTGTCTAAGAGATGCTGATTTGAAACCGTTGTTACATACAGTTACGGCATTTCCTGTTTCTGCCGGAGAGAGGGGAGGCCGTCCCAAAGCTTGCCGCTGTATTTACTCCCTCCATCTGACAGGAGGGAGCCTCATTCAGCTGCGAGTGTGGCTACAGACGGAGTTCACTCCGCCACGGAGGGGTAGGGTCGAGGGAGTGGTTTGGGATTGGGCCTAAGTGTTGATAGAAATCAACACGTAATGAAATAAGACCCCACGGTTTGATGATTGATAGGTGTGTGGGCTGTCTTTCATTTTGACACACAGAACAATGGGGGCTATCCACCCTTATCCACAATGTAAAGTAATTCACACAGCCTCTTCCCTCTTCTCTCTGTGAGGAGCAGCAGGTTCAGCTTTCAGAACAAAGTCACAAAAAACAAAAATGGCATTCATTTTTTTAAATGTGTAGTAATAGATTTATTTATTTTTCTTCTCAAGAGAGTACCAGAATGTGTATTTTATGTTAGTATTTCAAAAAATCTCCTGGGGGAGAATCCCCCCTGCAGGGGTCGGGTTTTCAGCATGTCAACTCTTTCACCTGTGGGGAAATTGCAGGATTGGCTCCAGGTCGCCCTTTTTATTTACTACAAGACAAATGTGCCTTTTTATTTCATACAGTTCAATTTGGATTGAGACAGGGAAATAATCTAAACCTCACGCGTGACGTTTCACTGTCAAGGGGGGCGATATAGCGTGGATGTAATTACATTGCAAATACTGACTTGAGCCCCACCACTGTATGGGTTAGCCCTACCATAGATTACCCAACACAAATACTCTGGAGCCGCCACTGGCCTGA